TGTGTGTGTGTGTGTGTGTTTGTATGTGTGTATGTTCATAAGTGTGCATACCTATCTGACCATACCTAACAAGTATTTATATCGATATCTATATTTCTATCAGTATCTATAATGCTATCCATGTGCACCTCAGTATCTATATACATTCGTGAACGTCTATACTTGTCTATACATATATCTATACGTGTATTAATATGCATATGCATATGTATATATGTATTGATTGTGTATTTCTGTGTTGTGTTTGTGTATGTGTATGTGGGCGGGTGAGTAGGTTTGTGTGAGAGAGTGTGTGCTTGAGAGAGTGCGTGTGTGTGTGTGGTTTTATTGCAGGTATGTCCATTATATATTACCTTGCCGTCGTAGCTGCCGGCTTTCTTCTCATCCTCGCCCATGGGATCCGGATGCATTTCATTGAGTGTCTTGAGGCAGGACTTAGCAGCCACACCTGCACCCACAATAACGTACTTATAGTTCATATCCACCTTCGGCTTCTCCTGCTCTTTGGCATGCATTACCGCCGGGTTTTGTGCATAATACAACGCACCTGCACCTGCAATGGCTGTTGCTGCAAGTGCCGAGTATCGAACACTCCTTATTTGCCCTGCTGAGGTAGTAGCTGTGGACATCATACGCGTACGCGCCAGGGTACGGCTGGGACCCAGTAGGGCTGTGCGAGTGATACTCAACATATTGAATACAAGGTATAATCGACTCAACAACTAACCCACAAACTGTCACACAGCTGTGCTAGTGATATGCGTGTATGTCTCGCGTGCACAATCCCAAGTGCGTAAGTGTGTGTATGAGTATCGTACTTATAAGGGGCCGCGTATGTGTTTGTGAGGGGGGTTGAGGATGCTCTGTATCTGTGAGGTAGTACCAAGAGGATATCTGACGGTGCTTAATACTTGTGACTGGCTACTGACTGAAGCACTTGACTTGTACTAATAAAATAATTGTACACGGCACAATTATACAGTATTGAACTATGCTTAGTTCCTAGCTTCTTGGGAATCTGGGATGCTTTCCTCTGTTATTTCCTGCTTTTTTCTGTCCGTCCGTTTTTGTTATTCTGCGTACTCTGCTCCCAAATCCAATTTAGGTTTGTATTTGGTAAAAAGGCTTCTGTAGCTTGCAGGAGTACGTTTTTGTGCCGCTTTTTACGTTTTCAGTAAACATTGAAGAGATTTCATACAAAGTATTCCCTATCCAGAAATATCCCTGATTTCCGACAATTTACGTATCATTGTAGGTATACTTTTATGGATGAAGGCAGTAGTGATCTGGGCTATGTTCTGAAACCACTCAAATCAAAGGAGAAGTCAAGTTTTAGAAAGTAGTTTATATTTGAATGATACAATTCGTTTGAGTCTGCATATATCTCAAACCTTAATTTTAATTCACTATATTAAGAATAATCTATTTTTACACCAATAAAAACCTATTAATTGTTCAACTACTAATCAAATATATGGATCAATTCTCAACTTGAACTCGACTATATAAACCTTTAAAATGAGTCATAACTCACAAATCCAGCTTTTATACAATGCTATAAATAGAAACTGTCTATATATAGAACTCGGTCCTTCATTTTTATTTCTTCCTAAGTGATATCATTGACCAATAGTAATCCTTCTAGACTCAACTAGGTTTTTTGACTTTATAAACTATCTGAAACAAGCTTGAGTGTCTGGGAGACTGGGACTCGGGACTCCTGGACCTGGACTTCTTTGAGGGGAAATAGTTTGACATTGGCACTTGTGTGACTTGACATTGGCACTTGTGTGACAGGCTGACAGCACTATTTACAGAAAGACCTGATGTTTCTTTCCAAAAAAAACAATCCTCTCTCTCTGTGTGTGCGCTGCTGTACATAATCAACATGGCATCAGTACATAATAAATACATGGAAATAAATCAACTGCGTGTATTTATTTATAGAGTATATGCATGTTGTATAAAGAATCTCACATCTGTATATATGTATACAGACGTGAATCTGTGAGTGCTTGTATTATATTTTCTTGCCTCATTATAATACAATAGGGTATTGTAGGTCGCATAGCAACAGAATCGATTTATATCATGCAACAAAGTACTTGCTGACTAGATCTGTGCACATGCGTCTGAAAACGATACACTTTGCACACTGGTAATTTAACTTGCCTGATGATATGTGAGCTTGAATCCATCTTGTCAGCAACATATACCTTCGGATGTGTAGGTTGAACATCCTCTGCGTCCGCATCAGTCCAATCTCTCGGACTATTAACCATGTAGGCAAAAATCACTTAAGCCTTATGCGCAAAGACCCACGGTTGCATACCGGAAAGTTGGGTCACAAGACGTACTTTGTGCAGTCGAATACGCAACGGACTTACAGCATACACCGCCTTCTAGGTATGTATCATTTTTTTTCTTTTTATATAAAGCTGTACAAGCAATTTTGTTGCGATTTTTGTTCCAAGTGCGTAAATACACCTGAACTGACGTGTATACACGAGTATATGATATGTAGATGTGATGCAAAAGTATGTATATATATATATATACGTATGTATGTATATGTATACATTGATATTGATATTGATATTTATGTACATATATATATATATATATATATATATATATATGTGTGTGTCTGTGTCTGTGTCTGTGTTGTGTATGT